CCATCCAGAGGGCCTTGTCCAAGTTTGCACCATGATCCAGGGCCAGTGTTTGGACTTAAGCCCAGATTCTGACTTCCAAGTTCCTGCTTCAGCCATTACTTGCTAACATTCCTTGTTAATTTTCCTTATCCACAAATTTGCAGGCTTCACCAGCTCTAGATTGAAACTAATTTCTTTAATAGTTGGTGCCCGCATTCATTTTCTTTCAGTTTAACTGTCCTGTCTGGAAGCCCAGGTGAGCCTCAGACATGACTCTTGCCTTGGCAGACTCTTGCCACTATTAACCAGAAGGTGGGCTGTGAGTCCAGCACTGCCTACCACCTCCTTTCTTCTTTTCACTTTGACCTTGTTGTAGACTGAATGCGTCCCTCCAAATTTATCTGTTGGAACCCTAATCCCCAATGTGATGGGGTGTGGAGGTGGAGCCTTTGGGAGATGATTAGTTCATGAAGGTGGAGTCCTCATAAGTGAAATTAGTGCCCTTTGGGAAGTGGCCAGAGAGTTAGTTCCCCCTCTTTTTCCCAGGTGAGGACACAGCAAGAAGCTGACTGTTGAAACCAGGGAGAGGATTCTCACCAGAACCTGATCATACTGGCACCCTGAACTCAAGCTTCCCAGGCTCCAGAACTTGAAGAAATATCTATCATTAAGACCCCAATTAATGGTATTTTTGCTGTAGCAACCTGAGCTAAAGCAGACCTTTCAGATCTTTATAGAATTTGTGTGTCTGTGTGGGATATGTACTTAAAAAGAGAATGCCTTCCCAGGTTTCTTTTGGTGCCTAGAAAGATGTGAAAGGCTTTTGATGTCCTTAGGTAGTGACCAAAAATGGTGAGGCCTGGGTATCTGGACCTTCACCTCTGAGATATGTCTGGATATGTAGAGACTACTGGAATGCTTTATGATTTCCGGTGCAATAGGAAGAGAGACCGTCCAAGTTACAGGTAGGAAAAACGCTTCTGTTCTTCTCTTCATTCATTCCTGAGTCCCTGGGTCACCCAGTGTGGGCTGTTACTCACCACCCATTCTGTCCCTGCCTCAGCCCTGCAGCTGCTTCTTTCCTGGTGGATCCAGCTTCCCTCTAGGGACACACACTTGCTGGATATTCACTTTCCCAGACTTGCTTCAAGCTGGGACTTGTGTTTGTGGTCCAGTCCTGGCGGAGGGGAACAGGAGGGGGGAAAGGATGCTGTGTGTGTGTCTGCGTGGGGGTCTTAAAAAAAGGTTGACTTCCTAATGAAAAGGGAGCCACAGGGAGAGGCACCCGTCCGTGACTGTAAATGATGCCGGGATTTACAGCAGACATCTGATAGCCCTGAGAGTAGATATTACCACACCGGGAAGCGGAAGAGCAAAAAGGCAGACAGAACCTGGATCGTATCAATGAAATGCCGCAGCAGTTGAGCAATCACCCTTTCTCTGATCTTCTCATTTTATATCTTTATTGCTTGAGCTATTTGAATTGGATATTTACTAACTTGCAACTGAAAACATCCAAATACCTGCTTACCCCCAACTTCCCTTGCAAACTCGTTATCCTTGGAGAGGTGCCCAAGGCAGCTCCTTCCTCACAACTGCTGACATAGTTTCTGGTGCACATTTCTTTTGGCACCAGGCTTATGAGCTGCATACACATACACACACATACATATACACACATACACACACAATGCCTTCATACACTTCTTTTCAGGTCAGTATGGGCATATGTGTGTGTGTGTCTGTGTGTGGTGTATTTTTAACTACACAGGGAATATGGATGAGAGGAACAGAGTATCAAGGTTTAAAGTGGCAGCGGCGAAGGCTGGCTCTGGGTCATGGAGGGTCTGGTAGTGAAAAAGGTGCTCCACTGTTGTGTGGGTACAGCCTGTCGGCTCTATTGAGGAATTGCTCATGCTTTTCCCAAGGCACTTGCCAAGAGAGCATTTGCATTCCATTAACTCAGCACTTGCAGGAAAACCCAGAAGAGTCTGGATCTGCTTTTCAGGGTTAAAGATACCTGAATACTGGGTTCCTGCAAAGGGATGGAAGGCATTTATGGTGGATTCAGGAAAGGCGAACCAATACTCTGGATTTATATGGCTAATTAGAATGACTGTGATGCTGTGCAAAGAACAGAAGTCTTGGGAGAAAGTAACCATGTAACCTTGGAGTTAAGAGCTAAGCATGGGGCCACTAGACGTAGTCAGATATGAACCTTGGGTGTTAGGATATCAGATGTCTAAAGTTCAGAGGAGGGCATATGTAAGAGGCTGAGGTTGTTTTGACATATGGAAAAGCTGGGCTTGAGAGAGTTAAATGCAGAGGGTGAGACAGTTTGGGAAGAGCAGAGCTGGGAGCAGGCTTGAGACACATGCAATGAGGAAGAAGAGGACTCAGCCAACTCCAATGGGAGGAAAGTCACCAAGGTGGACTTCTAGAACATCACTGGTCATGCAGTGGTTTGGCTGCAGGGAGAAGGCATTAGTCTAGGCCAGTTTTCCACACTGGGAAACAGAACTTGAACATAGCCCAAGCCTGATGACGTATCAGAATTCTTGGATTGAAAACTTCTGTAAAAAATGCACACGGACACTTCAATTCCCACCCTACTCCCACCCTTAGATTCTGATGCAGTTGTTTGAGAAATTCTAACTTAAATAGTCCTTGCAATTTATAGTTTTTGAAAGGTTTCTGGGTGATTCTGATGAGCAGACAGATTTAGGAACTTCAGAAATAAGCAGTGTCAGTGTTGACAGAAAGGTGTGGAGCAGTTGGTAAATGAACTGAAGCTGACAGGCAGTCAGGCCAAGGATCAGGGGTCAAGCATGTAAACTCCATTCCTGGTCAATGTAATTTCCCTAGAAATTACTGAAATACACAACTGTGGGCTGACATCAGCAATCCTGGGGAAATTATGAAATGTACTCACCATATGAGGTGTGTGCTGGTGTTCCTATTTTACACATGATCAAACTAAGGTTCAGAGAGGGTAATAGATTTGCTCAAGATCACAAGTCCAGTCAGTGGTGGAATTGGGAAGTGGAATCAGGTGTTCATTCATCCAGCGACCGTGGGAGAGTGACCTCAAAAGTCAATGAGGAACGATCTTGTGCACTCAGGAGAAACACACTACAGAGAAGAAAAGAAAGAAAAGAAGAATACACTGGGCTTGATTAGAATGAGAGCAAGCAAGGCAGGGTATCTTTGTTTGTGTTGCTGTAACAAAATAACACAGACTGGGTCATTTATAAACAATGGAAACTTATTTCCCCACAGTGCTGGAGGCTGGAAAGTTCAAGGTCATGGTGCTGGCCTTTGGTGTCTGCTGAGGGCCTTCTTGCTGCATCTTCAGATGGTAGAAGAGAGAAAGGGCAAAGAGGGCCTAAGCTCATTCCCTCCAGACTTTTATAAGGCATTAACCCATTCATGAGAACAGAGCCCTTGTGATTTCATCACTTCCCAAATGGCCCCACCTCTTAATACCAACACAATAGGGATTACGTTTCAACATGAGTTTTGGAAGGAACACATTCACACCATTGTATGGCAGAAGGAGAGAACGTTATTAGATATGAGAGAGAACTCTCTTATTTTCTTCATTTGGCTTCATTCATTTATTATTATTTCCACAAATACAGTTTGTCCTTCCTCTGAGTTCCAGTTTCCCAACTGTGTGAACCCCCCTACCTCATCTTTCTCCAATGCCTTAAATGATCCCTTATTCTCAAACCCTTTTTATGACCACTTTCTCGTCACTTGGCTGGAGGTCATGTAATATGGCAGCTCTTTAGCCTTCTTTGTACATGCACTTCTTTTCAACTCAATACCTTGGGGCACTGAGAGAGTAAAGTGGGCCATTGGCTTCTGAAAGGAGTTATGAATCACTTTGTGGGGATATTGGCTTCTTTCACTTTGTAAATAATGCCTCTTCAGCAGCCAAATATAGAAATGACCCATTTGTCTGAAAGTAGCCAAAACAAATCCATTACTAATTGGTTTTTATGAACCTTTTTGGATCTTTTGATATTTTGTGCTAAGAACTATAGGAACATTGAGGTCTCTAAAAGAGCAAAATTCAACATGTCAGTATATATTTACAAGAGCCAATGAGCCTTCAGAAGCATCTGCCTTTCTAACGATGAATATTGGGCATTCCAGGACAACTGTGTGCATGAGATTTCCAAGGCAGGAGAAAAATGCTGTTTGCTGTGGATAGTCCACAAAGCACTTTACGATCTTCTGTTGTTCAGTTTGAAGAGTAGGAAACATAAACTCCATGCTGTCTTCTTTCTAGGGTTTGCCCATCAACAGCAAGAACTATGTCCTGCAGTAGACATTTTGGGCAGTGATATATTACGCCTAAAATTAAAGTAGCCATTAAAATATTATGCTAAGCATTTTCTTATTTATAAGACACTAATTTATTGTAACGTAGTTTACTTTCTTCTATGGCTGAGTTTAATACGTTTCTTTCAGAAGAACCATAAAAAGCATGCTCGAAGAGGGAGATTATGTTGCTTTTTAAAATAAGCAATGTAGCTGTCACCAGATGTTATGAAGATTGATTACTAATGCATCTTTAATGAAGATAATTTATTAGATAATAAGGGTTTTTTTCCCTCTAAATTTTCAGTAGGAGGAAATCACTGAGTTTTTCCATTTTAAATTAAAGGTTTTCTACAATTGGTTTTTCACTAAGCCTTAAAATGGATGATCAAATTCAATTATGTAGCAAACATGCTTAGGATGAAGCTTATGCTACTGTCTTATACTTTTATGTCTGCTTGAATACCAACAAACCTTCTGACAGCAAGAACCAAACAAGATGCATACCGTGACGAAGGTGCCTAGTAGAATGCTATCGATGTATAATAGGTGCTCCATGAATATTTGTTGGATGAATAATGTCTTAAACCATTTTTCTTTCTGCAGAGTATGCTTGTCCTAAGCTTGTATATCAGTGATGGATTGCTATGTAGCATTCACACTTCCTCATGTCTCTCTTTGTCATCTTCCAGCAGCCAGGACGGGAGGCAGGAAGCAGAGGCGAAGAATGAATTAGCCCAACTGTGTCCCTGTCCTCTTCACTGAAGGAGATTGAAACTGTCTTGTCCTGGCAATGCCAAGTGGTCAGCCTGCGGTTCAGCTTCATAAGCTAGCCAGTGGGAAATTTCCTATTCAAGGTGGCTAAGAGCTCTAAGATGACCAAGGTGAAGCTGTCACAGAAATTCTTCTTAAATTGTTGTGTCTAATGGCAAAAAAGTATAAGTTGAAGAATTGTCTCTGAGAAAGACTGGGACACATAGTCCAAAAGGAATTATGGGCTGGGCGTGGTGGCTCATGCCTGTAGTCCCAGCACTTTGGGAGGCCGAGGCAGGCAGATCACCTGAGGTCAGGACTTCAAGACCAGCCTGGCCAACGTGGTGAAACGTCGTTTCTACTGAAAATACAAAAATTAGCTGGGCATGGTGATGCTACTTGGGAGGCTGAGGTAGGAGCATGGCATGAACCTGGGAGGCGGTGGTTGCAATGAGCCAAGATCATGCCACTGCACTCCAGCCTGGGCCACTGAGTGAGATTCCATCTCCAAAGAAAAAAGAAAAAAAAGGAATTATGAAAAGAAAAACTTTTCCCTGAAGTCTCTTATTTTATCTGAAAAATGCATGCAAGTTTGCATTGCAAACCGTAATATACCTCTTTGTTAAAGAGGTTAGTCTCTAGTTGTTAGTCTCCATAAATGTAACAAAGATTTCAAATAATCTTGATTTCAACCAATGGAACTAATTGATTATGTCGTATCTGGACTACAAGGTTGTTTACACATATTTATACTCCCTCAGCTCCTCACCCATCTTTGTTAAATAGGTATATTATGATAAAATAAGCAAAGGAAAAGAGATATGTTATGATTATAAAGAGGTATATGTGATAAAATGAAACAAAGGAAATCAAACATAAGTCTTTGGTTAATGTTGAGTTGAGTATAATTTCTGGAAAAGTAGACTGAGTTGGAAAGGACCAATGTTGAATATCACATTCAGAGCCCCTACTTAATGTTTTCTTCAGACTTAGGTTCACACTATTTTGGAAACATAGGCCCCCATAAACATGATGACAGTGTCTTCACTGCTTGCCAAGTTATATCAGGGTAATCACCAAGGACAGATGCCTGAATGTGCCACAGTGCTGGCATGGTGCCACATTTTCAGCCATAGTCCCTGAAATCTTGAATAAGTGTCTCTTACTGAGAAATTAAGCCATGTGGGTCCTGTGATGGTTAATTAAAATATTTTTTATTTCTATAGGTTTTTGGGGAACAGGTGGTATTTGATTACATGAGTAGATTCTTTAGTGATGATTTGTGAGATTTTGGTGCACCCCTCTGATGGTTAATTGTATGTGTCAACTTGGTTAGGCCATGGTATCCAGACAATTGGCCAAACATTGTTCGAGATGTTTCTGTGAAGTTTTTCTTGACATTTAAATCAGTAGACTTTGAGTAAATCTTATGACCTCTCATAAGCTGGGTGGGTGAGCATTATCCAATCAGTTGGCGGCCTTGAGAAAAGCACTGACGTCCCTGGGGTAGGAGGGAATTCTGTCAGCAGACAGCCTTTGGACTCAAACTACAATTCTTTCCTGGGTCTCCAGGCTGCCTGCCTACCCTGAAGATTTTGGATTTACCAGCCTCTATAATCACATGAGACAGTTGCTTAAAATAAATCTCTCTATACACATCAAATTGGTTCTATTTTTCCCGTGACCCCTGACTCATACAGGTCATGTGGTGGACTGAGAATGGACCTGCCAGACCTGCTTCCAGGTGCCCCAGCCCTGATGGCCAGGGCTACTTGCATAATTTATTCCCTCTCCTGGAATGTCCCCAAACAATAAGAATCTCACCCAGTTCCCTGGTAATGCAAGAGAATCAAATGATGCAATCTTTTCAGCACAGTAATTTTAAATTTTTTCCTCTAGCTTTACAAAAACAGTATATTCTCCAACATGGAAAGTGAGATTTTTCACATTTCATTTGCATATGGTATGACAACACCTTTTGGGGGAAAATATTTTGAAGTTTTTTTCTTTAAGCAGTTGGTAAAATCATTATCCTTGGAGATGTGTGATATGTTTAAGGAGGTTAGACAAAAGCATTTAGAGTGGCTCTCAAGGACCATGGCCCTTGATGTCTGTTTTGTTATCCTCAAGGTTAAAGAAGAGATGAAACAAAACATCTTTTGAACTAGGATACAAAAATGATTGTATCTGTGACTAAGATTTATGAACTGAGTGTGTGTAGTACATTAGTAGGTCCAGTTAATGAAAAGGCTAAGGGCAAGAGAGACAAAAGAGGATTAACAATTCTAGCTGTTAGTCTCCATAAATGTAACAACAAAGATTTCAAATAGTAGTAATTTCAACCAATGGAACGAATTGATTGTGTCTTGTCCAGACTTACAAGGTTCTTGTTTACACATCTTTATATCCCCTTGGCTCCTCACCCAGTGCCCTGTACTAAGGAGATGATCAATAATAGTGGTTGACATAATGCCAGCAGCTTTAATTTGTACAAATTAATGAAAGGAAATGTGAGGTCTACTGTCACAGCTCCTTTGTGTGCTGTATGTACCCAAGAGAATGAGGCTAGTATGATATCAATGTCCTGGAAATGCGTTTAAACAAACACAAAAGTTTTCTTACTCTCCAGGCTGTTCTTTTCCATATAAAGCCATAGCGAAGCTTCATTTAATTAGCAAAATGTGAATAAGAAAAACATAACCAATTAAGAGGGTGAAACTAACCTAGGAGAGAGCATGAGATGAAAATATACACATGAACGTGTTTGTTGCAGGAAGGGATACATGTCCACCATTAAGATAAGATTGGGGACCCAACAGGATTTTGGAGTAAAGGAGAGGAAGGAGTCTAAAATGACATGAAGGTTTCAAGCAATGCCCTGTTGGTCTTAAAAACTGCTTTGTTCTTTTGCTGGATAAGATGATAATTTATGTTTTAGTTATAATTAGTTTGGAGATTTAGTGGGGGTACTTAGGTGGGCACTAGCATTTGGGGAATGTACTCTTATTCTTTGACAAGAGAATTTGGGGATGTACAGAAAATAATTAGACTCAATAACAGATACAGTGTTCAGATTGTTCTGGAGTCCAGTCATACCTGTATCTATGCCCTAGGTTGTTTAGGTATAAAGTGGTAGGACACAGGGTGACACTGCAAAGAGCACTTATTATCACTTAACTGTGATAAATATTCTATGTTGAAATCAGGAACAAGTCAAGGATGCCCATGTCATCACTTACACACAACATTATCCTGGAGGTTCTAGCCAATGGACAAAAGATTAGGGGAAAAAATTACATATAAAAATTAGAAAAGAAGAAACAAAGACAAATTATTAGAATAAAATAGAATATTTAAACAAAAAATTAATTGCCCTTTTATGTATCAGTAATAAGTTAGAAAAGGAACATTTTAAATAATAAAAATAAAGGCATGAAGAACTAAAACTAATAAAATAATTGCAAGACATTTATGGATCAATTTTTTAAACTTTATTTTAAAAATGTAATGACTTATATGTCATTAAAGAAGACACATAAATGGAGAGATATACCATATTTGTGGTTGTTGCTTCTTGGTAAATTGGTCTATGAATTTAATGCAATTCTTATCAAAATCCCAATAGCATCAGTGGTGGATCTGACAAGTTGGCTATAGAATTAAAGGAGGAACAATACAATAAGTAGTGCTAAGACACTGGTTGCTGTGTGAAAAAGAAAAGAAAATAGGAAAGTGCTTCACATCATATAAAAATCAATCTTCTTTGGGTTAAGAGTGAAAATGTAGAAATCAAAATTAGAACTCTAGAAAACAAACTGAAGAATATCTTTATGAACTTGAGATAGGAGTGATATTTTTAAAAAGACACACCTAAAACAAAAGTCTGGTAAGTGGGCTATATTAATTACTTGAATTTCTTTTCATCAAAAGAGAAGTAAAAAATAAACTAAAATTATGTAAGGAAAATATATTTTAAACACACATAATCTAATAAAGAATTCATATCTGGAATATATCTAGCAAATAATAAAAATATCACCAAAGAAAAAAATATCGAAAGAAAAATACTTGTCCTGTCTAAATATTTTTAGATACTGTGTAGGTAAACAGCAATGTCTATCTAAATATTTCTATTTACCCAGTAGAAAGATGGGCAAAGGAAGAAATGAAAAGATAATTCATAGAAAAGGAAACAAAAATGACCAATAGGTTTATGAAAATATGGTCATTCTCATTAGCAATGAAGGAAATGTAATGCAATGCAATACCTTCTGGTTTTCATCCACCAAACTTGGAAAAACTAGACTAACAATATCAGGGATTGTGAGAATATGGTCAATGGCATCATTCGTGCTTGATGGAGGCATACACTGGTCCAAACAAACTGGAAAACAATGTGGCATAATCTACTAAATTTGATGATGCACAACTTTTAAGACCTAATAATTCAACTAGCTATATATTCTCAAGAAATAACTTGCTTATATGCACAAGAGGACAAAAGTACATGTGTCTCCAGTTCAAAGCAATGTCTGTGATATGGTTTGGAGCTGTGACCCCATCAAATGTCATACTGAATAGTATAGTCCCCAGAATTGAAGGTGGGGTCTCATGGGAGGTGATTGGATCATGGGGTGGCTTTCTCATGAATGGCTTAGCACCATTCCCCTTGGTACTATCCTTGTGACAGTGAGTGAGTTCTCACAAGATCTGGTTGTTTTAAAAGTGTGTAGCATTTCCTCTCTCTCCTCCTCTCTCTGATATTAAAAAGGGTTAGGAATATTGAAGCTTTTCTGGCTATTTGGAAAATATGTTTATGTTCTACTAGGCTCAGGGACTTTAGGTTTCCATCACCTTTACTTTATTTTATTTTTTTTAGACAGAGTCTCGCTCTGTCACCCAGGCTGGGGTGCAGTGGTGTAATCTCGGCTCACTGCAACCTCTATCTCCCAGGTTCAAGTGATTCTCCTGCCTCAGCCTCCAGAGTAGCTGGTATTACAGGCATGCACCAGCACATGCCACTGATTTTGTATTTTTAGTAGAGATGAGGTTTCACTACATTGGTCATGCTGGTCTCAAATGCTTGACCTCAAATGATCCACCTGCCTCAGCCTCCCAAAGTGCTGGGATTACAGGTGTGAGCCACCACACCAGGCCCATCATCTTGTTTTCACTTGTCTGTTTCCAAAGAAGGGGTGAGTTAAGTGACAAACTTAGAGGGCATAATTTTATCCTTAAAGATCTTCTCCCTGTCTCAAAAAAGCAGCAGTTGTAAATAGCTTA